TGCAGTTCAATTTATCTTATTGAGGAGTTCATTAACCTAATATGATAAGATGAAAAGTAAGTTCATCATGCTGCAATTGAATGTTGTACTCGCCTAAATACTTGAGTCAAATTTTTCATTGATCTCAAGCTAGGATAAGAAAAAGTAGAGAGGATTTATGAAAGTTGTGTTTTGCCCCCACTTTAAAAGCTAGGATAAAAAAAGTAGAGAGAAAATAAAATATTATCTATTTTATGCAAGAGCATAGCTACTAAATGAGAATTCTCTAAATTAAAAAATCTTTGCGTAACGAATATTGTTACATTTCTATTCAGTTCATCTTTTCCTCCCGTTATTCCTTTCAAGTCGTGGGTGTTTCCTTTGATATAATGGTCGGCCGGAGTAGTAAACTTTCCCTTTCTCATCTACTTCATCGTCTCTCATGAATGTTCATAGATTGTCTTGTACGAAAACTCTAGAGAAGTATAAGATCACTCAACAATGTATGAAAACCATGGAGGACCCCCTCAAACCCGAGAAATATTTATGTATGGAAAACGCATGCAGCTCTCCATGTGTGATCCTCTCCCAATAACTTCTCAATAACCTCTGTAAAGGATATTAGGGGTTATTGTGGAGTTATTTTGGCGTTATTTGGAGTCAATACCCTCCGCAGTTACACTTACACATTATGCAGTTACACTTTACATTTTCTCTGGTGTTAAGGTATTGACTCCAAATAACACCGAAATAACTTTGCAATAACCCCCCTAACATTCGCAGAGGTTATTGAGAAGTTCTTGGGAGGGGATTAAGTACAAAGAGCTGCGTGTGTTCTCTGTACGTAAACATTTCCCCCCTTGAGAGATTATACTAATTGAAACATATCATTATACTGCATTTTATTCTATAAAGGTGAACAAGTATGCTTAGCAAAGTTGTTGGTTTCTTTGAACTTGATAGCGATAATTAGCTTCGAATAAATTTTTAAAATACTAATTTCTCTTATAAATTAAATTAAATTTACTTCTCCAATCCTATCATTATATTCCATCATATTTTTAATTTTCTAAACAAAATAATAGAAAACAAAAGAAAAAAACAGGAATGGGTCCCTTAAAGAAATTATTGGAGAATATAACTCATTTAAGGCACCATAAATAAATATGAACATTATTGATTAGATTAATGCTAAAAAGAATAACAAGCGATTCCAATTTTCTTAAAAAAATCATTAAAGAACAAAACTTAAGAATCTATTCAATTCTTGTATAATAAGAGTGTTTATAAACCATTTGGATTTACTTAGCTTACAATGATGATGCTCTACATGAAATAGAAAGGTATGTGAAAATAGTTTTATTCTAAAAGGAAAATAAAACACTATTATAATTAAAATTCTCAATACTTTTTAAGTGTCTTTAAATGAGAAATATCTTCTCAAGCTAGAAGATAGTGCCATCGTACTTATATTTAAGGTATATGTAAGTGATAATATCAACCAATTCAATTGGGAGATAGTTTACAAGCAAAGATCTATTCTAAACACCATTTTTAACAACATAGCATAGCTTAAGGTTAGAGTTAAAAACCATATGCACTTCTTCAAGCCTAAAATGTTCAACTCAACTATCATATTAAAATGGCATATTCTCTTTTCCCAATCTCCAAAAAATATAATTATCTACCTCATCTTTTTAACATAGCCTACTCCAAACCAAGGAGTCAAAATTTTTTTTCTGACCAAAACTTAAATATTTTAAAAAATAATGTTAAATAAGAAGAGTATTGTCAAAGAATTACTTAGCATGGCTAATATTCCACACAAATTAAGAGATATCTATTTAATTAGGTAAAAAAATTACCTAGCAAAACCAATTTTAGAAAAATGATATTTTATCGAATTCTAAAAGATTAAGATAATCATATCACTGCACTCTTTAGTAGTTCAAAGCAATTGATTAAGTAAAATATTGATATACACAAAGTACTTTATAATCAATGAAATTTTGATTTGATTTGTGAAATATTCTTTACTTTGAAATAAATTATAAATCTTGGAAATATTATAAAGATATTTTTTTAATTATAAGCTAATACAACCAAAATTATTATGGAAATTAGTATATTATTAAAGTTTATAATCAAATTAAGTATCAAATATAATATAAATAATATACCTTAAGGAAACTAAGAAAATGAACTTTGATAAATGTCATTTGGAGAATTTAATTTGGAGACCATAAAATCTCAAACTAGCTTGTTACAACAAAAAAATATTTTACATATTACACCAAGTTGATGAACACTTAGAGTAGTTAAATAAAGTCATACATAGTCTATATTAGTTGAATTAGCCAGTCTAATATTGCTCATGTTGGCTTAGGCTGACTAGATTTGACATAATTGGGTAAAAATGTTATCTACCTTGAATTTACACTAGACCTTGAATTTACCCTAGTGTTGTTTGTAGTGGATTTTGAAGCCCACACAAATGACAAGGAAATTAGATTCACAACTTCTAATGATTTGAAAGAATGCTTAACCTACTTTAGCATTACTTTGATGCAATCAATACATTTATAAGATTTCATTGTGTTGCTCAAGTAATAATGATAATACTATCACCACCTCTATAAGTTAGTGTTTGTCTAAAGCCACTTTACTTGTGCCTCAATATGTTAAATATGGTGATAATCTCTTATCACATTGTTTTGCTCATATTATTATATAATTCTTTCTAAAAAATTCTAGATTTTTTAAGTTATTGCATCTCTATTGCTTAACTATTTTAGCAATTATTCACATCATAATGTCCCTCTATAAAAAAAGAAGATCAATGTAAATATAGTAGGATATTATTATCAATATATAAAAATTTTGTTTATAAGTCAACAACTCTTCTTAAAAATATTTAATTAGACCTAAATATCAACACTTCAATTTGCCAACACTAATGCAATTATAAAATCGAAGCACATGATATAAAAATATATAGATTATTGATTGAATATATTATCAAAGTGGTTGTCTATAAGTTTGGTTATGTCAACTCGATCAACCAGGGGATATAATCATATAATCACAGCTTGAATGTGGAATGATATGATCTCCATTGTTAATTGTTGATAATGAAACTAAAATCTAAAACTACAATGCCTCAAATAAATTGTGTATATACGATTCATTTTCTATTCATTTGTAACTTTTCTTGATGATGAAATAACTCTAATAAATTATTCAACTTAAATAGAACTCATTGTTGACGTCATCTCACTAGCCACAGTATAGACATAGACTTAACATTTATAATGCTTATCACACCTTAACAATAGTGACGTCAGACTTGCCTTCTATACATGATGATGATGGTTGCACTGGTTGTTAATACTTGAAGATCATATGACCCCATATCTTATGCATAATCACCTTACTCACAATAATAGAGAAGCTAAATTTTTATTAATATCAATGATCACATTGCTTGCTAGCATGTGAAAATTATATGATGTTTATCTCTTATTTATGATTGGCTTCTCAATTACAAAAGCGATGCCAAAATCGATGCAACAACAATGATTACATTTCCCACTAACAATTAAAGACTTGATGACACTCGCCTCATATCTATAAAAGCATTACATGTCAAAAAAATGACATCAAATTTAACTCAAATGATGATACATACCAAGTTACCCACTAAAACCAAAAATTTGGACAATATCCATCTCACTCTATAGCCATTTTACCCTTAAAATAATGCACCAAACTCATAACATAAAGCAATGAAGACCAATAGTAAGTGAAGACTACACAAATTTTTTCTCTATGATCATTTCATTTAAAATAGCAGCAGGACAGACCTATCACATAAGATGCTCATCCTGGCATCACTTATTAGCACCTTAAGGTCAAATTCCAAAGTTCTGCCTGTAATCTAAACATTCAAGGCTACATAAACAAGATGCATTATTTTTTATTGGGTCTCATAATTGGTGCATTAGAGAATTAAGAGGATTTTAAAGTCATAAATTTATTTTAGGGTGATGATAATATCACTTTCTTAAATTTAAAAACTTATTGCAGCACTTACATGTCCTTAACATTTTAAATTTGTACCATCCAAATTCTTCATATCACATAAAAATATATAACTATTTTAATTTTAAAAAAATGAAATGCGTGTTTTTATTTTTCGATAAGATGTCATATATGTAAAAATTGAAGTTTAGGAATTAGATATGTAAAAACATGAGAATTGCGATATGTATGTAAATCTTTTTTATAGAATTTAAGAATTTAAGGATATGCAGGTTAGGCCGTCATTTGACTCCTTTTGTGAAATGTTCCCAACTCCGTAGAAAAATTTTCTGTCCAGACTCCGGGCGTAGCTCTACGTGCAGACTCCCAGTGATATACCGCTATGTGTATTATATCGGGCCCACCTAAAAAAATATTAAAGTTGAACAGCGGACTACGCAATAACCCTGAAATAACATGCGCGGTTCCACTTCAATAAGATAACACTACATAAGTTATTTCAGGGTTATTGAATATAAACTTATATATTTTACTTCAATAACTCCGAAATAACCCTAAAATATCATCTGCGGTGTTATTTCGGGATTATTGAAGTAGAACAACAGATGTTATTTCATGATTATTTCTGGGTTATTTCAGAGTTATTGAAGTGAAATATATGTGTTTAAATTTAATAACCCTGAAATAACCCCCGCGATTCCACTTCAATAACCTCTAAATAACTTCGCGATGTAGCACACATGTCATCATATCATTAGAGTCCGCACATAGAGCTACATCCGGAGTCGGAATAGAAAATTTTTCAATCAAATTAGGGTTGAACAGTTGAAGACGAGTCAGATTCGAATAAAATTTTTCAACTCATATAACATTGAGATCGAATGAAGATCGTTTTCTTGAGATCTAATGGAACTCAACTCACTCGCCCGAATTTTGAAGCACTCTAATCTTATTAATTACCACGAATCTACTATTACCTAGTAAATCTCCGTTCCCCTTTACCATTCTATTTTCGCCGTCCGTATTCCCGTCTAAATTTTCCCGGACCATAAAATCGAGTCGGCGGACGCCGTAACAACAGAGCCATCGCGATGTCTTCGGCGGCAGCGGCGCCGGAGATGTTTGCGTCGGAAGCAGCAACTCCGATGAGACAGGGCTATGCTGTCGAGCTCTACTTCGATCCGGCCCTCGAGAACCAAGTCCTAAAGGCTTGGAACGTACTAGCCCGACGACAGATCAGCACTCAGCTCATTGAGATTGCCGCTCGCCCACACATCACCCTCCTCTCCTCCCCCTCAATCGACCCCGCTCGATTCCTCACTGCCGTTCGATCCCTCGCCGCCCGCCTCGAACCACTCCCTGTCTCCCTCTCTTCCGTCGCTTCCTTTCCCGGCGGCGGCAGCGGTGGAGGGGTTCTCTTTTTTGGGCCAACGCCGACCTCGGCTCTGCTCGGGCTCCACACGCAGCTTTGTGAGATTCTGCGGAAGGAAGGGGTAGAGGCGGCGGAGGAGTTTCGGCCGGATTCGTGGGTGCCACACTGTCCTGTGGCAATTGACGTGCCGAGGAACCGGATGGGAGAGGCTTTCTGCATACTTAGGGATCTGAAGCTACCGGTCTCTGGATACGCGATGGATATCGGGTTAGTGGAGTTCTCGCCAGTGCGGGAGATATTTTCGGTGCCTCTTGGGGGCGATGCAGAGCCTTGAGGTATGTGGGAAGACGGGAAGTTGGCTAGTTTGATTTATTTGAGTTTGGATTTTTCTGGATCTGAATTTGGCATGCTGGATTCGGGTAGCATTGCGGTTCTAATTTTTTCTTGGACCATGAGATTGCTTTGCATGAAGAACTTCCAATGGTAATGAAAGTTGAAACCTAAAAGCGAAACTAGGCTGTGAAATCATCTGAACTGATGTTTGATAGCATTGTTTGTATCTTGTATTCCATCACTGTGCCATTTGTTTATGCTTGAAGCTTATGCTGTGTTGTTTCATAACTCTTGTTCTGGAGGCTGTTTATAATTTATCTATGTCCAAGAGATAGAACTTATTATCTTTATTAGATTACCTTGCTGTTTCAATTAATGACTTATAAACCATTCTATTTAACCTATATCATGATGCTAAACCAATTAGTTGATTTTTCCTTCTGAATGTGGAGTGTTGTGGAATACAAATACTTGTGCTGAATTGTCAAGATGGAACATAGGAGTCGTGAAATGAACAGAACTATTGAAATTGAATTTTTAAATCTTCTTTTTTTATTTAGGGATATTGTATGACCTGATATTTAGAAAGGAGAATGAAATTCCATTAAAGCAAAATTAAATAGAGAGGTACAACATGTTGTGGTAGTTGTAGAGGAGGATGGTAAAATTTGTAGTTTCTTATGTGAACAATACTGTGCTTTAGAGCTTTAAAATGAATATCCGCTCTTTTCATCATCTTTTTTTTCTTTATTTTGTTAACATTTTAATACGGGCAAATAAGATTGTATGTTTATTAAAGTATATTATTATAAATTAGGATTGAATGCATAAGCAATTGAATCCCTTCATATCTTCCTGTCTTCTTCTCACTACATGTAACTTGAAACTTTTGCTTTTTAGAAAAATTTTGAATACAGAGCTTCATATCCTCATGATGGCCTGAAACATACACTTTATAACAGAACATGCTGAAAAATAGCAGATAATGTTGATAGTGATAAAATACTAGCATTATATACATTCTATTTTTAGTGCGTAAGCTTGTACATTAGGAATTAGAGAATCATCCACTGATCAACTATTCAAGATTTTTTTAGCTTCACAAAAAGTTGTGACTTCTCAGTTGGAACATGACTATGCGATGTAGAAGTTCTTGATATTGTTACACATGGAACATGCATCAGTTGGCTTCTAAATTATTAAATTTCTTAAATGGAGATGGAAGAATTGATGATCACATCATCCTCATTTGGAAAAAATGGCTCTTAGTTAACCACATTTCTTATCTACATTCTTAAACTTAGTTGTCATCATTATGTATTTGATCATTCTAATGTACTTGATTTAGCATTACAAATACTAAAATGACTCATTCCACAACTTAAGTTAGATTGTTCTTTCTTTAGTCAGTAGACATATTGCCTATCTAATATTTGGTTCATATTTGTCTTTTTGGTTAGTCTGCAATATTTTTCTTTAGGCAGATATGCAACCTTTAAAGTTCAATTTAATTGTTGTCTTCCTGGAAGACTTATAGTTTTTTATTTATTTTAGTGGTTAGATTGAGTGTGATTTTATATAATACCCGTGCTTCATTGGATGACCTTTATTTTAACTAAAATTATTCAATACAAAAATTTCTATTACCATTATAAGGCCATCAGTGCACGGAGTAACGCTTTGTTTGGTTAAGCTTATGCATTTACAAAAGTTTGTTTAAAAACAACTTTGTAAAAAACACTATTTTAAAGTTGTTGTTGCTAAAGTTGACATTACTGCTTCAATAAAATATTTTTTCTATGCTTTTTTAAACTAAAAAGAGCTTTTTTAAACTAAAAAGCACTTTTTTACCGTTTGGCTATGCTATTAGCTTTAGCTTTTTTTATATAAAAAACTAAATGGGGGTTTCTTGGTTGCTTTCCTAGTTGGACCAGACTGGTTCAGTTGGAGTCGGCTATGGTGGAAATTAGGGTTGGTCAGCCTAGAAAAGTGGGCTACTTCCCAAATCGGAAGGGGTCCCACCTCTCCTAGCCATCTACTAGTATTTATGTGTGTTTTCTGGTTTTAGGGTTCAATTTTCATTGAATTTTTTGTAGGGACAGCCATCAGCGTCTCAAGTTCTCCCTTCTATGATTGTATCCGAGTACAGATGATGCTTCAGTTAAATTTTGTTCATAGGTGGTGACTATCTCCACACATTTCCTCATTTCTTCCACCCACCTGCTCTTTGTCAGCCTTATTGCCACCCACCTCCTCTTTGTCAACCTTATTGCCACCTACCTGCTTGCTGCCAACGTTCTTGCGTCCCTACCCTACTTGCTACCAACATTTCTGCGTCCCTCCCTTGCTTGCTGACACCCAACCTGAGAATCATTGCAACTGTTACTGCCCTCACCTTTTTCTCCAAACCTGTTGCCGCACCTCCCCCACAACTCTACCTATTGTCTAGCCGCACACCTACATCCATCTTGTTGCCACAAGCTCTCTCCCCTCGCCTAAAACTCTCTGATTGCACCACCTCAACCCATAGCCCACCACCTTTGCCATCACCCTAGAGTGTCTTTTATGTTTGTGTTGTTTTTCTATTCTCAAGAGTCCCTGTTTGTAACCTTATTAAATTTCACCAAGAATATTTTTATTTCTATTATGGTTTGGGTTAACTCTGGTATCAGTTAGTATCAGAACTACTTTAACCCTAGTCTTATCTTAGGTTTCCTAGCATCCGCCTTACCCTTCCATCAAAAATTTTCTTTCATATCCGCAATCACGCATTCCAATCCCCAAACCTTAATCATGCCACCAAGAAGATACATGAGATCTATCAACTTCAACAAAGGCTTGCATTGACGATGGAACCTAGGAGGAAATTACTCTCGAACTTAAGCTGGAGAGCCGAATGGGAGAAAGGGATGAGGATCTGAATCCATTTCATAGGGAAGACGTCATTGATGAGGAATCAGGTTCCTAATCTTCAAAATTTAGTATCAGAGAAGGCCGAGAGAGGAGACAACATATGGAGGACACTGGGATTTTGACATTAAAGTGGATTTACCAGCATTCGATGGAGGTATCGATCCAAACAACTTTATCGACTAATTGCATTCTGTTGAGCAAATCTACTAGTATAAGAAAGTGCCAGAGGATGAACGATTAAAACTAGCAGTAATCTAGTTGAAGAAGAGCGCCTCGTTATAGTGGGAAAACATGTAGAGATAGAGAAAGATAGAGGACATTGACAAGATTACTATTTAGGAAAAAATGATGAAGGAGATACAGAGAAAATACTTACCTTCTCATTACCGCCAGGATATGTTTTTGAGATTCTAGCACCTACAACAGAGAGATCTATCAGTGGACGAGTTCACAACGTAGTTTGACTGATTGCAGATGAAGTGTGAGTTGGTCGTGTCAGAGGAACATACCATAGCACGTTATTTGGGGGGCCTGCAACTATCAGCAACATTGTGCATCTGCAGCCTTATTGATCGCTGGGAGATGTCCAAACCTTAGCCTTGAAGGTGGAGATATAACAGAAACAAAGCAAACAAATACCGTCATTCAGGTAGTCACCCATAGTTGGAGACATCATCAAGAGCACGCCTCAAGGAGTTAAGAAAATTGGTTTAGATAAGGATAGAACCACCCCGAGTGAGAAGAAGCTTGAGAAGAGTGACACACCTATTATAGTTCCTCCCTGAAAATGCTTTAGATGCCATGAATTTGAGCACATCACCTCCAGCTGCCTACGAGTCAGGTCGTGTCTTTTATAAAGTAGGGTGTCGTGGAGGAGATTAGAAACGAGGCGGCAACTGAAGAATAAGGTGAGGTGTATTATCTTTCGCTTGGATGAGGGTGAATTGCTTGTGGTTCGACGGGTCCTATAAATTGAGGATATGAGGGATCTGTAGTGGTTTCACCGCAATATATACTACACCAGTTGCACTATGAATGGGAATGTATGTAGTCTCATCATCCATGGAGGGAGCAACAATAACGTGGCGTTTACAAAGATGGAGAAATTAGGCCTCGTGACTTAAAGGCATTCCCGATCATATTCTCTGACATGGTTGAAGGAGAATAGTGTCAACATTGACTGGATGTGCCTAGTGGAGTTTTCGATTGGAAGTCATCTGCGGGATTTGGTATGGTGTGACGTGGTGCCCAATAATGTTTGCCACCTTTTTTTGGAAGATCGTGACAATTTTACCGTAGGACTCGACACGATATGTTCACCTAGGATGGTAAGCACATCATCCTTCTACTTCGATGGAGTCTGAGATCATAAGTGATTTTTCCAGCAGAGAACCGTCGATGGTATTCATTTTGGTGATGATAGAGGATGACAGGACGAAGATATCAATATTAAACATGGAGCAACCCGTTCAAAGAGTGTCTCAAGAAATCACGCTCGATACCTCACAGCCATGGCCACCACCTTTCATGGAGATTCAAGTTACCCACACGTCATATTATGTTGAGCCAAACATAAATTACTTTGGGAGGATTCAACAGAATACATGTGACACAAAGTTTTAGGGAAGCTCAGTAGTTTACTGCCAGCAGACTGGATTTATATGGATGTATGCACACAAGTGGAGAAAACTCCTGTGTTTTGGGAGACGGTGTGATCCAAAATGGGATCTAGGTGCTACTAGGGCCACAGTCGAAGCTTCTTTAGCCCCAGGAGATTATAGCAACGCCATCACCGTCAACTTGGAACTAGAACCTTCAACGAATGAGATCGAAACTACCTCACCCTCGGGAGACTGACGTGGGAGTTTCCAGGTTGCTTTTTTGGCTGAATAGGACCAGTTCAGCTGTGGTAAAATTAGGGCTGACCGACTTTAGGAAAGAGGGCTGCCGCACAAATAGGAAGAAGGGTTCCATCTCTCCTAGCTATCTACTAGTATTTATGTGTTTTTTAGAGTGTAACTTGATTTGTATTTCATAAATATGGAATATACTTATTGTGGGTGATGTGAGTGAAGAAGGCTGGGAGACACAATCATTTAATTATTGGGTTTTTTTCTGTTTTGTTAAAATATTTGCATGATACAAAAATTAACTTACCTTAAATACTAAATTCAATATTCTATTTCAAAATTAAAAATGATTGCCTATGCTTTTCAGGTGTGTTTGGACAAGTGTTCTACTTTCTCACTCATCATCAAATATTATAGGCACACCATGCAATGCAACTCCAGCACCAAAGCACACTATGCTCTCTCTCACTCTCTAGCACAGAAGAGCAGCACTACCTAACTATAAAAAAAATTCCGACATGTGGTTTTCAAAATGAAAAAAATAAATAA